TGTGATTCTGTGATTCTGTGAAATAAGAAAATTGTACTGGAACATTGCTATCTGCTGAATAGCTCCAGGTTGAAAATTGTAATCTTAATTTTACTCCGACATAGCTTGTCTTAACATTTCCCTTACTTAGGACCTTATTGTCACACCCTGCTAGTCTAGATCATTGGATTTGGTCCCATAAGCCCACTTGGAGCACATGAAGTTACTCAAACCATGCCACAGTCTGGCTGCTGGCCCTTCACACCTCAGTCTGAGCCCCTGTCCTAGGGATGACATTGGGAGGGATCAGGAAGGTTTTTGTTTCAGTGAAAGATAGGTGAGGTCACCCAGTCTTTCCCTGCTTTCCCAAATTCCACACGCTCTAGGCAGCAATGGGAGTGGACCTGGTCAAAGCACCTGGCACAGAGTATTAAGAAGTCTCCTCCTCCTGTGGCTTTCCTGCAACAAATTTCCACTTTGTGTTTCAGCTTTGTGAACATCCTCCTTCCCTATGATGCCAAAACCATTGGGACACGCTTCCGCTGGTGGCAGCCTAAGCACGATGGCCTGGACCAGAACGACTGGGCTATAGACAATGTGTTGATCTCCGGCTCAGCTGATCAGAGGACAGTGATGCTCGACACTTTCAGCAGCGCTCCCCTGCCACAGCATGAGCGCTCCCCTGCTGACGCAGGGCCCACTGGGAGGATCGCCTTTGACATGTTAATGGAAGACAAAACTACAGGTAAAGGTTTTACATGGATCTGAATTAAAGAGCAAGAAGTCAATGCAGTGATTTCCAAACCTTGCTGAGCCTCTGAATCTTTGTCTCACTCTGATGGATGTCACAGACAATCCCACCACTGTGGGGGTCTTTTCTTTCAGTTTCAGTTCACAAAATGTAAAATAAAAAGATGAAACGTAACTTTTCTTTTTTTACTGCATGAATTTACTTGTAAGATTAATTTCTCTTCAAAGAAAGAAAAAAGGATTTAAAAGTGCCAGATTTCTAAGCAGGGTTCTTTACCTGAGTATTTGTTTCATATTTTTTAACCTTTTTAAACATTATTTAGTGAAGTTAAGTTACATTTTGCAACTAATTTTTGTAGAGGAAGTATTTCTGGGTGTTTACAAGGCTTAACAGCTAACAGTGCTGGGGTACCCTTTGTGCAGACGTGTAGGCAATACCCATTAAAGAGTTTTCCCATAATGTCCTATGCAAGAGAAGTTTATGTTTTGAATAAGTCTCAGATCCTTACTTCTCGAGCATTAAAAAATAATGCTGTAATGCTTATGTAAGAGAGTAGTAAGACGTGGTTTGAGCAATAAATGTGATAATTGTAATATATATGTACATGGGAAAGATGGAATACTGACGTTCTCAGGAGCAATACAAAAAAATTATTTTGTAGGCTGAAAAACAAAGCCATGAATCATCTTTAATGGTTAACGCTACTCCCTGATTTCTTTAGTTTATGTTGTCATTGTATATTACTGACATTCCCATTTATTTTCAAGTGAACGAACACTGGTTATTCCATGATGATTGCTCGATTGAGAGGTTTTGTGATTCTCCTGATGGTGTCATGATCTGCGGGAGCCATGACGGCAGAGAGGTCTATGCAGTCACCCATGACCTGACTCCTACAGAAGGCTGGATTATGCAGTTCAAGGTAAAATCTCTGTCTGCAACACAATTATTCAAAAACACATTTTGCTCCAAGTCTAAGCAGATTTTTCAGGAGGTAGGATGATGTACAGGCCTATGCATGAGCCATTCCCTAAGGGAAAACTGTTATTAGTAGGCCATACTTATTTTTCTCACCTGTTCCGTGTTGGTCATCTTTAATACCACAAGCTGGTCTCAGAGGTGACGAACCCTTCTCTTCCAGCATAGCAGGTGTACGGACATCGTGTAGTAAGGGTGGTACCCATATACAAGGTGCCTATTTTGTTACAGCTGCTTGGTGAGGGAAAAGCACCTCAAAAGTGTCCACAGTGCTCCTGTGTTAGCATGCATTCACATTAAACCTGAACCCAAACTGCCCTTCATATACCCCTTTACCTAAACTGAAGAAATAACCTAATATTAAATGGAAGTTGCAAGAGCCCCTTGCACATCTCTCTCATAAAGAAGGGCTGCCTGACATAACTGAGATGAGTGGCCTTCTCTGAATTATTAAAATCTTGGGCTGTGTATGAGGGGAGATTAACTTTATTAGTTATGGGGTGTTGAGGTATAAGGCACAAGTGTCAAAACCTAGAAATCCAGAAATGTGAGCTAACTAGAAGAAAATGAAACTCTGAATATGGTGCCTGTCCTCAGTCTTGGGAATATTCATGAGATCTGCAGATGACTGGTACCATACAAACCCCGTTACTGCCATCATTTCAAGCAAAATTCTGCAGTCAGTTTTCAGGTTCAAACATTTTTATAAACTCTAACCACCACCACAGTTAATTGTAATCTACTTATTCTATCTTCTTTATTAGGTTTCTGTTGGATGTAAAACCTCCGAAAAACTTGCACAAAATCAGGTCCATGTGCAGTATTCCACTGACTTTGGTGTTAGCTGGAGTTACTTAGTACCTCAGTGTTTACCAGCTGATCCAAAATGTTCTGGGAGTGTCTCACAGCCATCTGTCTTCTTTCCCACAAAAGGATGGAAAAGAGTAACTTACCCACTGCCTGAAAACCTTGTGGGCAAGTAAGTATGAATTCGCTACTCATTCTGTCTTGGGTTCAGTACCTTCTGAAAAACACAACAGGGGATACATCTGCCTATTCATCGTCTTTCAAGGAAAACACAGACTAGCAGTGTTCATGTTTATTACGTATGCTGCGTAATTTTATTTCCTATCAATCAAGATTGACCATGACTCTTGGTCTGAACAACCGGCAAAGTTATCCTTGCTTCTATGCAGTCTGCTCCAGTACAGCATGTTCTGCTCTGTTCAGACAGCCGCAGTCAATTAGGGAGTAGATTTATGACCTTACTGAGTGCAAAAGTTACCCTTATTGTTTGCAGTTGTCTGCACATATGCAAACCATTTGTCTTTTTCTGCAAACTTAAAATTTTTTCTATTCTTTGAGTAATCTGCTCAGGAAGTATAACCAAAATTGAAATTCTCTTGCAAGAAGCCAGAATAGGTTTTTCCAGTTTCATCATCATCTGGAATCCATTCATGTATCATAGGTAGTACATGTGTGAAGAAGAACATAGGGACATGTATAAAATCGATTTCAGCAGACACTGCCAGATATTATTTGTGGAAGCTTGGAGGATACTACAGTCATAAGTATATTGTGTTTCACCCACCTTTTTTCAGTTGAGCAAAGTTGTTTTATACCTATGTCTGTTTTTCTTCATTCCTTTATATCTAGTCCTGTGAGGTTTCGGTTCTACCAGAAATACTCAGATATGCAGTGGGCCATCGATAATTTCTATCTGGGCCCTGGTTGTCTGGAAAACTGTAGAGGTCATGGAGACTGCCTGAATGAGCAATGCATCTGTGATCCGGGGTATTCGGGACCAAACTGCTATCTGACCCAAACACTGAAGGTAATTTTACTGCATGTTATAAAGAGTGAACTTTGCCATGTGTTTGGCTGAGAAAGAGAGAAGATCGATCCCACTGGAAATTTATCTTTGATTCCTGTCAGCCTGAATATACTCAAATCCATTTTCAGGTCTTTTATAATTTTTTTTTTAACAAAACTATTACTGCAGCATCCAAGAACTGGTTTGTTCATTTGCAAATAATTCTGCTCGATAAAGCTGTGAAGCTCACTGTTCATCCTTAGGTCATCTTTAGACAATAATCACCCCTGCACACATTATTATATTCGATCAAGACCTGTAGAAAGACTGTCTTTATCATGAAAGAGCTTGCTGAACTAGGAAATCTGAGAAAATAACATAAAATTACATAAAATTAATTAACCTAGCTGTTATTAGTGTTACCATATAACAAGTGAGTGAAATCTAGTTAGATATTGCTCATTTAAAAGTTAAAATATTTTTAAAACTCAACATATTTAGAAAATAATATGTAAGGAATCCCAAATTACTTAAAAATGCAGGGTTTACCATCTCTTTTTTGCTACACCTGGAAAGAACAGAATAGGTACATGCTCCACAGAAGCAACATGTTAAGCAGCATTCTGCCTAAAGAGATTATAACTATTTAACTTTTCAGTTATCATGTCATTTGAATTGTTATAGCCTTCTGGTTTTCATGTGAGATACTGATTACATGAATAAATATCATAATCTTTTTGCAATTTTTAATTAATAACGTATTCTTCACACTAAGGACATTTGGGATAAAATCCTGGCAATTTAAGGGGATTTTTACTACTATCTCCTTAAGGCCAGGCTTTCACTCTTGGCATTGTTCACACTGCACACCTGGAGGTAAGTGGAAATGAGAGATATAGTCTAGATGGGTTTCACAGAAAGTATTTGTGCAGACTGTTGCATAAATGCATCTTCACCACAATAACCCTAAAATTTCATTGCAGTACCAGTTTTGCTGGGGAAAAGAATATAGAATAGCAATATCTCCCATACACACTAGATGTGTACTGGAGTGGTGTTACATAGTCTTAAATAACCACAGTTATGAATTAGACCATTCACTTGCACATACAAATCCTAGTGTGCTGGATTACCTCCCAAGTATGTTAAAATCTAGCCCTAACATATTTTCACATTTAGCCAATTCGGTTCAGGTGGTGTTCAACTGAAAGCAATTATATTCAGCCACCTTGGGAAAAAAAAAAGTTACAGTGTTCATGAGCCCTTCAGCCATGTTTAGGTCAGTTCCCGCTGTGGTCATCAGAAAGGCTTAAGGTCATAATAACCTGTGCATTATTAAACACCTTACTTACAGACTTTCCTGAAAGAGCGCTTTGACAATGAAGAAATTAAACCGGATTTATGGATGTCCTTAGAAGGTGGAAATACCTGTACTGAGTGTGGGATCCTTGCAGAAGACACAACTCTGTATTTTGGAGGTGCAACTGTGAGGCAGGCTGTCACTCAAGATCTGGACCTGCGAGGGGCAAAGTAGGTCATGTTTCCATGTCATTTTAATGGGGAACACTGTTAAATGCTGACAAAGTGGCAGGTGATGTAGTTTGTAGCTCAGGGAATTCCTAGTCCACAGCAAGCATAGTGTTATCTCAGGTAGGCACTAATTTGATGGTGATTCTCAAGGCACTAATGCTTTCAGATGGGTCACAGAGAGCAAGGCTCACCCTAGGACAGTGGAAGGGGTCTGCCATGCCACAGTGAAACAGTTGGTCCCCTTCCCCAAGAATGTCCTGAAGTCAGCAAGACCTGTTCTGCAAAGAGGCAAGATGCTGCAGTCTCCTGGGCACCGTTGTGTCCAACCTGGAGGCACCAGCTGTGTCTCCCACTGAGTTCAGAACACAACCTCTCCTGGTTGTCCTCTCTTTCAGTGCCCATACGAGACCCACACCACTCACATGCTGTAGAAGAGGATGACTTAACTGGAGAGCAATTAAATTATCAGTTTAGACAAGCTACGGACATGATGTAGAAAACAACTTCAGCATCATTTCCCTTGGCTGTATGGCTTTAATGAAGCCACGCACTCTCACTTCTGTAATTCAGCAAAAATTCACTGAATCACACAACCTTTCAGGAAGGATGAGGCCTCAGGGAATCTCTAGTCCAACCTCACCCTCTAACCCAAGTCAACACTGAATTCAGACCAGGCTGTGCAGGGCTTTGACCCATTGGGTCTTGAAAATCTCCAAGAACAGAGATCCCACAGCCTCTCTGGACAGCTTGTGCAGTGTTAAGTTACCCTCACAGCAATTATTTTTTTTTGCCCCCCTGTTACAACCAGTTGGCACCTCCCTCCATTTCGATGTATGACCACTGCCTCCCAGTCCCAGCCATCTTCTCCAGGCTGAACCAGCCCTGGTCCCTCAGCCTCTCCTCACAAGGCACATGCTCCAGCCCCAACCATTTCAGTGGCTTCCACTGACCTTGCCTCGGTTTATCAACTTCTTTTATGTTCTTCATTCCTGTGAAGGCACCTCGTTAATCCATGTTTAGCCCCCTTTCCATCAGGACTCCCAGGCAACTGTTAGCAAAGCAGCTCCCAGTCAGTGAGTACCCAGATGGTACCATTAGAAGGGGTTAATCCCTTCCAGGGGCAGGACTTTGCTGAATTTCATGAGGTTCCCATGGGAATTAATAGGCAATGTTTTTGGAAACCTTTTGTACATTGTACAAACTTGTACATTGATGTTACTTGCTTAAAAATGCTGGTGTTTTGAACAGTTTTCAGCACATCCCATAATAGAAAACAAATGTCTCCATTTGTTTAGATCTTTAACAGATGTAAACATTATACATTTACTCTTAGATTTCTACAGTACTGGGGGAGAATTGGGAGTGAAAACAACATGACAACATGTCACAGACCAACTTGCAGAAAGGAGGGAGTGCTGCTAGACTATTCCATTGATGGAGGTAAGTACATCTTGTATTCCAGCTAAACTACAGCCTTGTTCTGTATTCAAGCACCATGAATATCTGAGAAGTTGTCAGAGATATAAATATTAGATAATTAATAATAATAGCTAATCAAAATAATTGGATAATTTTTAACTGTAAAGTTATTTTTGTCCTTCTAAAGCTTTTTCCACATCTAAAATTTCCACCTATTGCTCAAGAGTTTTGCAAAATCCCCTGCTTGATTTTAGTAATCAGTGGCTTCCAGACAATTTCATTCCTTTATACAATTACAAGATTATTCTTGCAATGAGTAACAGTTGCCAACTATCCCTAGAAGTTAAGATTTGTCTATCAGAAGACCATAGCTATTATTTTGTATTTCCTATTATCTTCCTTTAATCTACCATACCCTTGTTTTCATTACTAAACCTGCATCTTTTCATTCGAGGGATATCCTGGACTTTGCTTCATGAGATGGATTACCAAAAATACATCTCAGTCAGGCACGACTACATCCTCCTTCCCGAACATGCTCTGACCAATACAACCCGCTTGCGCTGGTGGCAGCCTTTCACCATCAGCAATGGGATCGTGGTTTCAGGCCCCGACCGGGCGCAGTGGGCGCTGGACAACATCCTGATCGGAGGAGCGGAGATCAACCCCAGCCAACTGGTAGATACATTTGATGATGGTAAGACAGACTGACAGCTAATCTGTTGTCTGGCACTATCTTATCTAAGATAAGCCCTGTAAGCTTGCAAGCACACTTTTTTTCTTTTTTTTTAACTCTGCAAATTTTTCATTTTGTAGACTAATGCTGTTTATATACTATTCTTCATGCTACTAATAGGGGTGTAATATATATACGCATGTATATTCAGGTATGTATGTATGTATGTGTACGTACACATATGTATACACCTGTAAGAAAGACAAAAAAATGTATTTCAGTCCAACTCACTTCATTTAAATTCCTGTGTAGGAAAGTTTTATTTAATCATATTTTTAAAAAATACTATTATTTAAGCATTTTAAGTACCTCTCTGGAGCTGATGTTTTTATTATGTCTGTTAGTAGCTTACTTATTGTGTGTCATGACAGATAGCATAAATTTAGTGTTCATATCACTAAAGTACTGTATCTAGTGATTCTGTGGATTCATTACTAAGCCTTGATGTTTACTGAGACAATGCAGTAATTATTGTTAACTCATGTTAATAGAAGGCATCTCTCATGAAGAAAACTGGAGTTTTTACCCTAATGCAGTCAGGACTGCAGGGTTCTGTGGAAACCCATCATTCCATCTCTACTGGCCAAATAAGAAAAAGGACAAAACAAACAACATCCTGTCCTCCAGGGAGCTCATTATACAGCCAGGATACATGATGCAGTTTAAAGTAAGAAATGTTCTCTCTCTCTCCAAAGTAAAGTATGCAATGAAAAATCATCTAATGTGTCTCCAGAATTTCTTCTTCTTCCAACTAGGATGCCCAACTGGATGAATAATTAATAATGACTTTTTACTAGAACTTAAAGAAAATTCTAAAGTGCAGGTAATAGGAACCACAAAGTTTGCATGAATGTTAAATGTCAAATTATTCTGATTGTCTCTATGCTTTGGGGGTTACTGAGTGGGATTGGAAGTCTAATCCCTTTCTCCTGAGATTACTGGATCATCAGATACAGTAGAAATTATTTTCTAAGGCTAGAATACACAGCGTGCAAAATATGCAATTTCCCCTAACTTGTGAATAAGCAGAAAAGGCAAGGTAGAGGCAGGCTGGAGAAGAGTGGCATATGGAAAACACAAAAGTGCTGAAGTAGAAGTACTCCTACTTAATTGTGTCTTGGCAACTGACCTGAATAATCAGAGAAACATTTCTGAATATTTTACTTTGTTTTAAGGTAGAATTTCTGCACAGGGACAAAGGCAATGTGGAGTTGTTGTCCAGAAATGTTCTAGGCCCTTCCCCAAGCACCGTGTCTTAAATAAGCCAGGAACTATTATGAAAGCAAGGTCATAAAAATAGTCATCCATCTTCTTGTTATGGTTTTTTCTTGCTCTTCTGTTTCACAAGACACCTCCAGAATTTTCATCTTCCACTAATAAGTATTTTCACCTTTTCTCAACATCGTTGCCTATTTTATATTGACTGTCTATTATAATCCCTAAAGCTCTTCTTCCCCCACTCACAGAGCATGCCACCTTCAAAGAAACTATAAAAAAAAGAGAAGTCTGACATGCTTTTTGCTACTGAATGTCAAGATCCCCCAAGGTGCTAATTTTACCTAGCCTATCATTTTTTTCCTCTATTTTAAGGGCAAAATTATGAAAACACATCAGCATTTAATAGTTCGTATTACTAAACTCTCATTGCAAATTTTTTCTATCCTGACTCCCTCCTCCTTTTTCTTCACCAGTCACAGTGAAGATTTTTATTTCTAAACTAAGAACTCAGCTCTAATGCATGGCTGCCATTTGGTTTTGAAGCTCTTAAAATTTAGCTTTTTGTTATCAGTTCAGTACTGTCCACTGGGTGCTGTAATCCTTCTACTCTAATAGGATATAAATATGTTTATTGTTTTAAATATTCAGAATAATTCTGTTCTCTAGTTGGATTGACTTAAAGTTTATATCCACATTTTTATCATTATGATTTATAAATTTCATAGGTAACTAATACATAGTTAGGTACCTGACTTTCTGAAATGCCAAGGAGCTACCACATTTTTGTGCTTCAGAAACAATGTTTGTTTAGATATTTAATTTGAACTTTAGGAACGTAGTGTTGAGATTCTGTTTGAAAATAACAGTAGCAATGAAGTAAAATTCATTAAGTAAAAGCAGTATCTGAAGTATTCTGTCTTTTCTTTTCCATCCACTTTTGATGGATTTTGTCCAAGATTTAAGTTGGCAATCTCTTTTACCATTTTTTTTTACCATTACCCTGTAATGAAAAAAAGGAGAGGAAAACTTCATTGTAGATGACATTAAATGTCTACCTCACATCTTACAGCAGCCATTTTTATTTGTGCTGTAGATCGTGGTTGGCTGTGAGGCAACTTCTTGTGGGGACCTCCACTCTGTGATGCTGGAGTACACGAAGGATGCCAGGTAAATGACAGCAGAATAGATAGACCTGAAAACAAGTAGTAAGATATTAAAAACCTAGAGAGCTTTTATTTATTAAAGCAATTACTTTGATTCATCTTGTAACAGGATCTGAACAAAGCCTGTTTGCAAGCACTGGGATTTGTCTACACAGCTTCTGTAAATTCTCTCTGTAATTTATCCCAGATGTTGACAGATTTGTGGCATTGAGCTTGCAGTTACAGTCATGAACATGCTCCTTGTTAAAAATGTGCAAAAAACCACATTCACAGGAAACTGTTGTTTTAGTATGATACAGGACTATATATTTAGGACCAAGCTAAAATGAAGTGGGAATTACTTAATTCTGATTTGGTCTTTAACTAACAAACAATTAATAATGCTGTCTCTTGTGCTGTAGTATAGTTGTGCATTATAATTTTTAAAATGAAAGTATATTCTGTGCTCAAATAACTGTGGGTGAACATGGAGCAAATTCTGTTGGGACTCTTCTGAACACTGTAAGAGAGAGACTAACAAGCAGACTCCTAAATAAATCCTTCTGTCACACCTGCCCAGAGGAGCTCGGAGTTGGACTCTCCTGTGTGTACCACCACCAAGGGATTCACAGCACTTAAACCTGGTGCTGGGAAGTCCTCCCTGGCTGCACCAGGGCTTCAGCCTCTCACTTCTTGTCTATCTGTGGCTACTGAGTATGGAAACTATTGCTGACAATCTCTTGGATTCATTTAGTAAGACAGGCAATGCCATGACCCTTAGAAATTACCTGTTTCCCTTTCATTATTCTTTCAGTTGTTCTAAGATTTTTTGTTTGTTTGTTTCCTACAGGACGGACTCATGGCAGCTCGTCCAGACACACTGTCTTCCTTCCTCATCTAACAGCATTGGCTGCTCCCCATTTCAATTCCACGAAGCTACCATCTATAACTCTGTCAACAGCTCCGTTTGGAGAAGAATAACTATCCAGCTGCCTGACCATGTCTCATCCAGGTAGGTTACTGAAAGGTCAGCTCACTGTGGACCTATAAAATGCCAGCTGTCTTGCTGGCACTGTTCACTTGGAACAACTGGTGAATTAAAAATGCTTCTTTATTGCTGGATTTAGAACTGATACATAATTGACAGTTTTGAGGAAGCTTTTTCTGTATAGAAGTGGCTACTGCCGATACTGTAGCAGCCACCCATTCAGGGTGGGTCTTTACGGTTATTGAAGTGACAACCCCTTTGTACAATATTTTTCACTACATCTGCTGCTGGCATATTTGAATGTCATTGTATTGATGTGTTTAATTGCTAGATATCGCAATACCATGTTTGGATTTTGATATTTGCAGTGCAACTCAGTTCAGGTGGATTCAGAAGGGAGAAGAACTAGAGAAGCAAAGCTGGGCAATCGACCATGTGTACATCGGGGAAGCATGCCCAAAGCTCTGCAGTGGTCATGGATACTGCACGACTGGAGCCATTTGCATTTGTGACGAAGGATACCAAGGTTTCATTTCTTCAATTTATTTCTTGTACATCTGCTGCAGTCTAATCTAGCCCAAAATTAAACAAAAAGACAGACTGATGTATCATGTCTAAATTCATCACTCGAATGCTTGAGTAACAAATTAAAAATTAATAATTTGACAGAGCTGCAAATAACAGCTCCTCCCTCCCTTTACTGTTTCTGCATTGAATCAGTAGTCTCTGCTGTCTGGCCCATTTAGCCTTCATCGAAGACAGAATGTGGCTACCACCTTACCCAGAAATGGCTTCCAGCCCTGTACTCCTTCCAAGGGTGCACTCACTCCCAGGGGATGTGTACATAGTATCCAGATGTAGGTGACTGGCCCCTCTAAGGAACTCAGTTCTGTGCCCCATCAGGCCAGAGTGCTCTGCTCTAACCCCACAATGCAGCTAAGCACGTGCCTAATGGTACCTGAGTGCCCTCGTTAAATTATAAGTGCTTTGAGGGAGTGGAGCCAGTGTTTAATGTTTTCCAGGACAGAGTCTCATAACTTTATAAGATCAGATCACTTCCTTGTTTTAGAGGCATTTCCCTTCAACTGGCAATTTGAGGTTTCTTATATTGGCATCAGTGCAAAACAGGAGACACCCTACTGCAGTTCCCAGTTACACTGCTGTAAAAGACAACAGACTCGCAACCTCAGTTTTCTAAAAATGAATGTTGTACAGCAATGTGCATATTATTAGTGGATCTGCTGAAATATATTCAGCCTGTAGTCACACTTTATATCGTGCCACAACCTTGAATGGAATTACAATGAACTGTAACTCAGTTTTCTCAATTCTTTGGATTTTTGTGTGTTTTATAACTTCACTGTCATTTTTAGGTGATGACTGCTCTGTTTTTAGCCATGACCTCCCCAGTTATATTAAAGATAATTTTGAATCTGAAAGAGTCACTGAAATAAACTGGGAAACCATTCAGGGGGGAGTGATAGGGAATGGATGTGGACAGCTGGCACCCTACGCCCATGGAGATTCGCTCTATTTTAATGGATGTCAAATAAGACAAGCCGTGACTAAGCCTCTGGATCTCACCCGAGCAAGGTAATAGTTTGTGCCTAAAATGCTCTTTTAGCAGCTCATGAGAAAGGAAACTCTTCATATGTACACGCAGCTATGTGGGCCAGTACTGATGAGGATGGACGGACCTGGCTCTACCATGCAGTCAGGTGGGGCTGGCAGATAAACGTTAGGGTTGGCAAAACACTTTGTGACTTCCATTTGGGAGATGGAGAGTGAGGAGGAAGCATGTCAGATTAAAAGGTTAGATGTTTTCATCATGCCCAACAGAGCACTGTCTAGTCAGCCAGCACTGACAATGAAGCTGTTGGCAGTGGCTGGACACCAGACTGTCTGGAACAGAGCCTGATCTGATAAGACAAATCCCATGTTTGTATGTGCCTCCACAACAGCCATGACTAAAGATACGATTAGTAATTAGGTACTCATTTTGCCATTTCAGTTGTCAAATAGAATTCTGTTCACCTGGCAATGAACAGGAGTATCTTTTTCATCTATAAAGCCTCTTTGGCCGTGGAAAAACAAATGCAACCAGCCTGTGCTGGCTCTTAACAGAGTGACAGCTTTCTGGACTGGTTTGTATTTAGTTGTCTAAAGCAAGATTAGAAACAGGATGAATTGTCAAATGGTCCAGATATAAATCAGGCTCTTCCTTCTTATTTGAACACCCAGGTAGTATATCAGAAATCCTTTAGGCAATTTATCATATTCAACCTTTATTTGCCCATTTTAGCTTTTCATGCACACATTTGCATATTTATACTGTTTGTGTATCTCAGTTGTGTGGAGATACATTGTAAAATTGGATCTGTTGCATCCAACAACATGGCAATATCTTATATACAGTAAAGTATTACTTTGAAAGGGAAACTGTTTCAGAGATGTGAGAACAGTTTATTTTGCCTGCTAAAAGCAGTGATTCTTGAGGATGCTGAAAGTTTTAATAAGGTAACTGCAATAAACCTGGAAATGCTATTGTTCCTCTTTGAATACTTTTTGCATATTGAAAATACCTTTTCTCTCTTGTGTTTTACAGCAAAATCATGTTTGTATTGCAAATTGGAAGTATTTCACAAACAGACAGCTGCAATACCAACCTGAGTGATCCTAACACTGTAGACAAGGCAGTGCTCCTCCAATACAGTGTAAATAATGGAATTACATGGCAAGTAATTGCACAGCATCAGCCAAAGGACTTTATACAAGCCCAAAGAGTGTCTTATAATGTTCCCCTGTGAGTACCCAGTCACATTTCATTACCTCTAAGTGCACAAGATATATTTCTGCTAGGAAAGAATCTATCTATGCATCACTTTGCAGGAAAATAGAGGTTGATGAGAGAGTAGACAAAGAAGAAAACTTAAGGAGAAGGCTGATTAAGAAATTCCAGCCTTGTGTTTATCAATATGCTTGGAAGAAAAACTCAATACCTATTTTAAAGATATGTGCATTTTTTACCATTAAATTTGGACACATATGGTGTGTTGATGTTCAGCAATGTAGAAATAATACTTTGACTTTGCTCTTAGTTACTGTTGGGGGATAGATAGGGATGTGCAAATCACCAATAGTCTGGAGCTCTCACAGGCTCTTTCATTTGTGACAACAGGGAGGCACGAATGAAAGGAGTCTTACTGCGCTGGTGGCAGCCCCGTCACAGCGGAACAGGTCATGATCAGTGGGCTTTGGACCACGTAGAAGTCGTCCTGTGAGTATCAGCTTCACCTCATCCCACCCCATCTCAGAAAGCACTGAAATTCCTCCAGCATGGCACGAGTGTTAAGCTCAGTAAGAACCATTGTGGCCTAGGGAAACTTTTGAGAAACAGTCTTTGCTAATGCTCTGTGCTGACTGCAATTGTCAGAGGTTAAGATGGCCATGAAATAAGTGGCACAGCAGGGGGAAAGTGTGTTGTGCAAGAGGGAAAGTGGGGCTTTATCACCACCAAGTATTGGTGTGGTGCTGTAATGCAGCAATGACTGTGAAAAAAATACGTGCTGGGACATAAGAAAGGATATTCCTTTTCAACGCTGTGCTGCCATGTAAAGCTGATTTATATCCTTTTGAAGATACAAAAGAGTTTGCTGTATTGCTCTTTGCACAAAGTAATGTTGTTGTGCCTCTGAAAAATTTGTGTTAGCAACTAATGCCTTATTCATTTCCTTTTTTTAGTAAGAAGGATACTGTTCAGAAACAGGGTTCACTATATCAGGTTCCTATGGTCCGAGCTCTATACTCATCCCCTTGTCAAGATTTTACCAAGTAAAGTGTCTGCACCCTCCTGATTCTCCCATTCTTGAGATGGGTTTCGCTGGCAGATAACCCGTTTTTCCTGTGTTACGTCACGAAGAGATGACCTGCTTTTTCTCTAACAATTTAGTTCCAGTAGAAGTGAAATGCTAGTGGCTTCACGGGTGGGAACTCATCGCTGACAGTGGTTGGCAGAGAGAGGCGTGCCTGCTCCATAGATAGGTTCAAATATTCCTTTTATCGAACAATTTGAAAACCAGCAATGAATAAATTAGGCTTGGATAACCTCCAGACTGTGAATTATAACCATGAGGTTTCTGAATTAGCAGAGACACTGCAAGTAATGTTTTGTGACAGTAGAAAAGTGAATTATCTGATTGCTAGTTAGCCCTATTCCTCTTTCCACCGAGAAGCACCAGCTTGCATGGCACTCATATCAACTCCAAACCAAATTGATCCCAACACTGACTAACTGTACACGCTCTGCTGCTTTTACACACCTTGCTGGGCTCTGCTTCCATAACATTAAGCTTAAAGCTTGAAGGAACAGAGGGACGGATGTGATTCCTGGCTTAGTTAATCAATGGCTGTACAATGCTGCATTAGGAAAGATAGGAAGGAGTATGAACCTGCAGGAGGTTCACAGTGTTTAGGAAACCACAGAAAAGGGAACTGGTAGTTCTGAATATTTCCATGTCTTTCTGCCTTGCAATTAAAAAAAAAAAAAAAACATGTGGGGAAAAAATAGAGCATAATATTATCTGTCAATCTGAGCACTGAATTAGGGAATATAAGCAGGAATAGGACAGACATTGAAAAATTTATTCTTGAGCTGAATTCTGGAGAACTTCCTTGACAGTGAGATCTGCCAGCTTGTAGACTAGACACATACGTTGAGTGGTGACAAGTTGGTCATATAAGATACATTAGAATGGAGAGAGCAATAGAAATGCAATACCAAGTAATCACACCTTGCCTAGAGAAGGAAACAAGTGAGGAGACACTGTCTTCTCCCTACTCTTCTTTTTCTCCTGTCAAAGAGCTTTAAGGATATTCTGAATATTGGCCAAAATACCAGGCTAGAGACAGAGAGCTTCCATCCTATTCAAGTGAGACCTGGTACAACCCACAGAGGAAGAAAGACCAAACCAGACAGATTTCTCCCTTATCAAGTACTGTGAAATGCGGTGCCATGGCAGCATATTTCCAAAATGCCAGATGTGGAGTTCCAGCCCCTGATAACTACAACTTGTGAGGCGTGTACTCTCAGGAAAGGCAGAATTACATGCTGTGGCACATCTGGTTCACATGCCAGCATGTGCTCAGATCTTCCAGGTGGTTTTGACTCCTCTGTTTGCTTAAGTTCTATCTGCTCCTTCTAATTCATCAAAATTTTCTGTAGGCCTCTTAAATTTTATTTGCGAGTAACCCACAAAGGGTTCGATAAAGCCTTTGGAATGCTTTCTGAAGGGAAGCACACTTTTCCTTGTCAATAGATACTCCCATCTGGGTTTTCCTTTAGCTCTGCTGTTTCACTCTGCCACCTCACACTGGTCCCTTTGCCCCCCAGCTCTTCAGTTTCTTCACTTGTAAAATGATGAAGACACTGTGAAGACATGTCCACAGAGTTTCCAAGCATACGGAGGGAGCCTGGATCCTTGTCTGTTAGCACTAACCCTGGATGATCCTGTCCACAACAGGGCTACCAGGACTCATACCATGCATACTAGGGATAGGACTTAGTTTAATTCTTAATATTCCTTCATTTCCCAATTAAGGGCACAGAAACCCTGCCCGCCCCTGGGGATTGCAAGCAACCTCACCTGGGCAGCTCTCCAACAAAAGACAAGGAGGCAGTGTCCCTTGGCTGCTCTGCCCCTCCATCGAGACTGCCAGAGGAGGTCCCTGTGAGCAACAGCCACCCCAGGGCTCTGTCTGGCTGCAGAGAGGCATGGCCTGAACTAAGACCATTCACCAGGGTGCTGTCGTTACCTCTTCCCATTAATTCTCCAGAGAGTCACTGGAGAGTCAGTAGGCTTCTGCTTATTCTTCCTAAAGCTGAGACAGTTGAGGAAACATCTGTGCCTCCCAAATTGGAGTTCTGACCTTCTCTCAGCAAGCCATGAACACCCCTGGCTGCAGGACCTGTTGATGGTCCATGTCTACTGCAGTCTGTGCTCGGTCCTCGTATAACCCTGCACTCCATTACCCATCTGAATGAGACTGCATACATACCCTTCCCTGGGCACCATCAAGATTATCTTCACTGGCCCTGGTTTAAGCCCTAGATTTTCATGCCTGTTTATGATCTGCGTACCCACGTTGCCTCAGCAGGCAAGCCTCTAGCCCATGTGGAGTTACAGCCAGAAGCTGGCCTGTACTAGGAAGTGTGCTTTGGGATGTTGAGAAATTCCTGGCTTTCTGCACATCTCATCTTGTTTCCACCATACCCTGTGGGCTGACAAAAGAGGTCTAATTTTCCCAAATGCCCCAGGTGCTATCTGTTGGCTTGGCTGCCTGCACACCTAGGTGCTGTGGCAGCTTTTCCTCAGCCCACAGGCCAGTCAGCCACACTCTCCTGGAGCAGACCTTGAGCAGGCTAAGAGTGGAGTAGGAAAGCAAGTGGGGAAAGCACCTGCCAGCTGGGAGAGCTGATCTATAGGGAGGCAGCACAACCAAACATTTTCTTGATTTCATATCCCATCCAACATGGGGGATGTCCCTGCTCCTCCTTACAACGCTCGCCCCAGGGACAAATCTGTGAATACCTGCTTTCATGGCTCAACTCTCCTCAGAAATCCAAAGATTTGAAATTAATACTGTCACAGGCCCAGCTACCAAGTCCTAGCACAGATACCGATTAGAGCTGATGCATATCTAAGGTCACAACACTCTGTTCAGTTTAATTGATTTCTGAGTCAAGGGCCATCATCCTCTTACCAGCAAACACATTTTCAGGATGCAATTTCTTTGTTTCCTTTTTGCTACCAAGATAGTTTGCTGGGGGAAAAAATTAACTTGCAGATTATATGTGCATGCAAAATACCTGATGGTGATAAGAAAGGTCAAAGACGGGTGCTTTTGTATGTTACTTAGGATCATTCCACTTCTGAATGAATTATTTGAACCACTCATTAAAAAGCAGTATCATAAAAGCTATAGTGCAGCTGCAAATGGTGCTCAAATAGAGCACCTCTTTCAAACGGCTGAAATGCAATACCTGCTTTGAATGTTATACATTAAATTGGCCTTGCCAACAATGGTTGACATCTATCCTGTGGTATGGGAAGGATATTAGTTATCAAGTCCAGTTCCTTTTAAAGCTAGTGCCAATTATTCCTCGTTAGTGCAGCATTTTTTTCTCTCCACTTGTAAGGAAAGCTTTGGGCACAACTCTCACATGTTCCATGTGGCTCTTCTTAGGATGAAAAACTGTTTTACCCCAGACTTAAGAAAGAGTGCTTTTCAGTGCCCCTGTATTTCTGCCCTAAGAAGACCCCATGTCCAACCCAGCATTTCATTTGCACATTGTTTTTTTCTCAAAGCACAGCTCTCAGCCTGTCTGCTGCACAGACACCGCACACTGTTTTGCATGTGCATTTAGAACTGCCATTTCTTTGTGTATAGGGCAGGCCCTTATGACCTTTTATAAACTCAGTTCTGGTCAAAGGCATTGAGAACTGAAGGGCAATGATAAGCTGAACGCTAAGGGTCTGATGTTGCTTTCTTTGCACCCCAAAATTTGTTATGAGATCCAAAGGAATTTGAGTTGTGCAAGGTATGCAAGAAGTATTATCCCTATCTGCTATTTTATGGCTGTTAGAAAACAGAACAAAATCCTCCATAGTCATCACTCCATGCTCTTCATTGTCAAGATATTCTCACGTTTTTGGCACAAATGATTTAGTGAAAACTTACGTTGCATTTGGTGCAAAGAATGTTTCTCCTTATTTTGCAAGATTAAAATACAAATTATGTATCATAGCTCTAACCAAGAGTGCTCATGTGGAAAAGCATTTTCATCTGCTTCATTTTTTCAGTAAAAAGCAACGATTTGAAAAATGCACTTCAATTATCAATATATTTATAATAAAGAACAGAAATAGTTCAAATATTAGGCAATTACCTGAATATTAACAACATTTATGCCAAATTTAATATGATGCAATCTGTACTTTTATGACATTTTTATTATTTTTCTAAAAAAGTGCATGCTGAATTTTATAGAAAATAAAAATATAAACATTGATTTGAAATATCAGGAAATAATTTGTTCAATTTTTATTTTCAAAAGAGATGAAAAGTCCTATATTGCCTCTAAACCTCATCAGGGTTTTATGAGTAATCACAGTGCTGCATGCATTGAAAGGCATTTTCTAACTTATGTTGTATTTCATTGTTTGCTGTCATTGGTTTTACACTAGAATAAGGTAAGTGCTTTCCCTGAATCAATATCAAATGTATGTTGCTGTTACAGCTACAGTTCTTTCCCAAAGTTTTGTCAATAATGGGTCAGTGGAAAATCATTTGTACTCTGAGATGTGCCATGTAGCTCTTGAGGGCCCTGATTCTGCAGCGAGCACCGGGGGAAGTATAACTTAACAGAAAGTGTCCAGCAGCTCACCCCGTGCCGCAGTGGGAATTTCACTGAGGCTGCAGTGAGAACGGCTTCTCCCGCTGCTGCGGTGCAATGAGACCTGCCAATGGAGGGCACCCAGCACGTTGTATGGGCAACCTCTCAGTTCGGAGGGGGAATTCCCACTTTTTGCCATAATCAATGACTACAGAGCTGAAGGTACAGCCAGGTAGTGTATGTCAGTCAATCTGTATGGTGACAGTCACACATGCCTCTTAGACATACAGCAAGTGTCTGACAGGTAGTTCTTTTGTTTGTTGTAACTCTGCCACTTTGTTCTGTCTCAGTTAATAGATATCACACGCCAACATAGTTACTGAGCTCTGGGTTAAAATCTTGACCTCACTGGAGCCAATGGATGTTTGTCATTGACATGAGCTGTCAGGACTTCAGTCAGAGCACGTCACTTTTCTCATTATAGTACCCTCCTAGCATAGCACACAAAACTTACACCAAGCCTCCTCCTAAGAGGCATGCCTTTGCTGTTTTCTAAGGCTTTGTTCATGTTTTGCTTTGTTATCCAAATATTTTTGTTTCTATTTTTTTCCTATTATGCCCTGGCAACTAAAAATAAAAGCACAAAAATAATGAATTATGTTAGTCATTGGGGGGGTTTTACCGCATAATTTTAATTCCATTTGGCTATGTTCTGTTTTCATAAATTCTTAATTGCAGACTTGATGTTCAAACTGTCCTTTAGGAAACATGCAATAGCCATAGTGCTCTACTAAAGACTAAAAATGCAGAACAACTCCTTCTCATAAATTGCTTTATTGCAGGTATTTACTTAACATGCCCTAGACAAATTTTTGTTCTTCTATATTGGCTGCATATTGTTTTCATCTAACAACTCCAGTGACTTCACTAGAAAGTTACGTAGAGTTTCCTATGTAATTGGAGCAGTATTATCTTCTATTTATTTTTTAATATTAAAGTACTCAAAACTGTTTAACAGATTAAACAGTAGTTGCTCCTATTAATTGCTTTTTTGCTGTTTGCTCCATCAGCAATACACACATTTGCTATTTTGGATCTGTACTTTTTTCTCATCTGATGATTCAGTGAATGCACAGAAAAGGTAGAAGGCTCAGCATATGCTGACCAGTCCACAACATTCTTGCAAAGCAGCCTCCAAGTTGCCACCAATATTCAAACAAAAGTTCCCCCCATAACCCCTGTTACAGAAGGGGCGGGGTCTATTCCTAATATAGCCTGATGCTCCCCAGCACATTTTGGCTGCTCCAAACCAAAAAAACAACAGCAAAAGTATGGTAAAGCCTTTTATCAGTCTGTAAAAATACATGCTAAATTTGTTATTATACTATTGAAATAATTCTTAAATCCACCAAATGCACAAAATGTGTAAGTACTCCTGCAAACTTTATTATATAATTCTTATTGTGATCTTATAAAGCACTATTGATCTCTTATACAGTGCTTGCCTCCTACCAACATATAAAATTAATTCAGAAAAATAAATATAGATCTATTCTCATCTTGTGGATACCAGGCTATGCATACTATACAATATGATACGATACCATGATATATAGGGTATACCTGTTGACCTATAGCAAGAGTTAAAATCACTCCATTTTCTACAGCAGGCATGTAGATTTTGCATGGCATCCAACCAGTAGTTGGAAAGCCCATCTCAGACTTTGGTGGAGAACAAGTTTGAACCATGTCAGTGCAAGTGAAAAAAAGAAAGCATTTAGTTCTTAGGAATTTAGATTTCCCTTATTTTTCACAAACTGCACTGCTGTGGTGTTCAGTGTAAGACAGGGAATATATGTATTATATGTATTTTCTGTGTAACATCTTGATCATCTTATAAAATAAGAGACTGAATGTATATAAAAAATAAGTAAATCTCTTGTGAGTTATTAAGTAAACCTTTCTTTGTTCCTTTTTTCAGTTCTTTCTTTTCCTTTATTTTTGTTGGGTTTTTTTCTTTGTTCATTGTTTTAAACATCTTCATCATAACTTTAAGGCCAGATACAAAATGGTTAGGCATTCAAAGTGAAATAGAGGCCAGGTGCACCTCGCAGTGCCCAAAACAGGTCCTGAAAATCTCTGCTGAGCTGCTGGGCAATGTGAACAGACCAAAGGCAGCAGGGAGGCAGGGAAATCCAAAGGCCCCTGGGCCAAGGACTGCAGCTCAGCATGTGCCCTGCCTGCCCAAGTCATGCTCAAGCTGAGGATCCAAGCTCAGTCCTAAATTCAGTCATGTCCAGAAACAGCACATTTTTCAGCCAAACACATTGACAGGCTCCGTTTGTTCCCATGTACCTACAGTAAGGCCACTTGGAGTTGGGCTGTGCTTTCTCCCAGGGCCCAGTCTCCTGTATTTTGGCTGCAAAGCAGCCTCCTCCCAGCAGAGAGGTGCTCCATCCTCACTTCATGGTTAGGATGTTCTCCTGAGAGCCTTGAAGTCCCTGTGTATAAGGAACAACCCCCTTCCCAGGCAATGGGAATTAAAGGGAAGGCAAGATTGAGACCTCCTTCAAGCCTCATGACCAATGGCAGCCCCTTTCAGGAGTGGGTTCAGGGCTGTGATTTCCCTCCTGCCTTCCTCAGTGATGCAGTCAGCGTTGCAGTGAGGGTGATGTTCCACAGAGATGAGTACAGGACCAGAACAAAGACTGATCTTCAGTGCGTCTTTTCATTTCAGCTACCAAGTGGCATTAAGACTATATAGACTCACTGCTGTCACTCTCTCATACAACACTCTAACAAATTAGCACAGACCTTTTCACTTGAAGAAATCGGGACAAGTCAACCTCAAATATCAACCCTCCCCTAACTGACAAATGCTCTAGAGCACTGCCTTACTGTGAGAACACCAAAAGTTGTGCTGAGTCTAGATCCGTTTTGAGTTCATTGTCACCAGGAGCTGGATTTTGTTTCATTCTTGTATGTACATTCCAGTGGGGAAAAAAAAAAAAAAAAAGTGTAATTTTTCTGTAAAATTAGGTGAAGAAATTTGCAAAGCCTTGGAAAACTAGTTGTGAAGCAACTTGGAATTGCTTAGGGGTTTATATCCTAGAGTTTGACACAAGTGCTTTTATTCAGTTTAGTCAATCACATTCTAAATCAGCTGTTGAAAAGGGTGTAATTTTGTTATATAGATTTTTTTAGATGAAGTTATTATACTACAACAAAAACTATCTTTGCATCTGGAGGATCATGCTTATTTTGCAAAGCATGCAATTGTTTCTCTTTCCTAAGGGCCACATTCACTAAAAATAAGCTTATGCACTAGAGAGGAAAGTATGACTGATTACATGAGTATTTACTTTTTACTCACAGAGAAAACTCACAAGTGAAAACCTGCCTTGCACCCACAAATGGGAGATTTGTTGTCTATTACAGGCCTTTACTTCACAGATCACCTTTAAAATCCAATGGGCTTCTTGGTTTGGAGGCTTCTGGTAACATTCAGTCCCTTGGAACAGAGATGCTTAGGCCAGGCATCCTTCTCCCACTTCAAGACAAAGCTAGAAAGCACAGGGTCGTAAGTGGGCAGTGAGATTAGGAGAGGGAGTCAGAAATCAGCCCGAGACTGCACAGATTCATTGCAACTTGGCAGCTCCTTTCCCCTGGAAACCAAAAGAAAATATGGCCATGCAGTCACCAGCAGTTCTCCTGGGTGAATCTCTTTATGCCTGTTGGAGTTTTCCTTGGGGTCTGCATGGTTAACACTGTGCTCCAACCTCTGAAAAACTGCATCCTCTGCCTGCACCTATGAGAGTACCTTGTATGCCATTTTTCCAGAGAAAAGGGTCTCTCAGGTGGCTTCAAAATTAGAGTCTGGCTGCAGTATGTGATACTATTTTTATTTTTAAAAGTAGTTCTCTGATCAAAAGGTCTTTCCCGTACCCTGGGGCTCTCTAGTGCAGCATGCAAAAGTGAATATTTCTCTTACAACCACATCTAGGCTGCTCTATACAGCTGGCCAAGTGCTCTGCCAAGCTGTAGGTCTGAGAAGAGACATCCTGTATCAGAACTTCAGAATACACAAACCTTTTCATTCTCATGTAATTCTGAATACAGTTTGGCTGTGGGTTTATGTATACCTGTATTTGTGTGTATGCACCAGGGGTATGGATATGTATAAAAAGGGACCAAGAAAAGGCACAGCCAAAGCTCTCTGGCTGTTCTGTAGTCCCCTGCCACAGCAGAGGCAGTAAGATGTAGAGGACTGGTGGTGCTGCACATGCAGTTCTGTGCCATAAGCAGACTCACAAGGACGCACCACAGATGTTACAGCTCCATTCAAAAGCTGCTGAAATGTGGAAACTGAAGGTGGAATCTGGCCCTTAGGAGTTAGATGGGTTTCAGGTACCAAAAGCCCAGACAGCCGTCTTGTCCACCACTGCACTTTCACGGTTCTTTCTTCCCTCAATGGGAGAAGTAGAAACCTATGTTAGATGGGATGGGTCTTGTCCTCCAGATAGGTCTTCCAAACAAGTGTCCCTCCTTCAATTAAGCTGCAGTCAGGCTGTCTCTTGCCTAGTCTCCTCCCAGATGTGATGATGCTTATTTCCTAGATCTTTCTTTAATTGTGGTTGAGGGGTATAAGGGCGGGAAACGTTAAATCTGCACAAAAGTGTTGTACTTCACTTGTGGAAGATAATGAAGTGGAGTAAAGCTGCTCTTCTGTTCTCAAGATAAAGCAATTAATGACCCAAGACAGAAGGATAACTGAGTATAAAAACACTGCCGAGAAATACCCTATATTGAGAGGGTATGGAGTGCATATAGCTTTAGTGAATCTGGCCCTAGGCAGCACAAGATTTCATTAGCTGAAAGCTCTTAACCTTTCCCTAACATAATGAATTGTAAATAAAAGCAAAGGGGGACAGATTCTCAATTGCCTTGTACCTTGCTGTTGTACAAAGGGTGAAATACACACCACTTTACACTGGGTTGAAAGGTCATGCAAGGAAAAAGACGAATCTGTCCCACTAGCTCACTGCTTTGAAAGAGTTTAAGCAACATATAAACACCTGACAATCTTCTCTTTCTCCCCCCACCCTTTAACAGCACTCGCAAACAAAATTACATGATGAATTTTTCACGGCAACATGGGCTCAGGCATTTCTACAACAGAAGACGAAGGTCACTTAGACGATATCCATGAAGAAATGAGAAATTTATCTTTTTTCCTCCCAACATGTGATGTGTTGCTTTCCATTCTTTAAATCTAGCACTGCGTCTGGTATCAGGACTTTTCTGCAACTGGCTTGATGAATAATTGAAAGCCTTTCTCAAGACAGAGTGTACACCACTTTTTCGCACTGTGAACTAATGAGAAGTGACTTATTTTCTCATAGGTAAATGTTTTAATGTTGATGTGTCTGTGAAAATTGTGATCTGTTGTAATATCAGTTACAGTGGCAGTATTGGAAGTAAGCAACTAATTCTGTTTAACAGGAAAAAAAGTTTAAGCACAAAGACTTTTCTGAATTTATGTTTAAAAAAGCCTACATACTAAGTACAGAATTTAACATTCTTTGTCACGTAGGTATTTAAGTGCACTGTATTTCAGCTCTGTGTCATTTTATATTATTAAGTTATCATTGTTCGTCCTCTTTGTATTCTCTTCTACAACATGACACATTGGCACTGTATTTACTTGTTTTGTTGTTGTAATATTTTTGCTGCTGATTTTTGGGCTATTTACCTTCTGACAAAATGTATTAAAAAAAAAATCAAAGTACCTAATCAAGAAGATAATTGCAAAAGTAGTTGTAAAGGCGTTGATATCCTTCGGTCTTATTCTTTGATATGTCTGTTGGTTAGCATTGTTTTGTGGATAAAAAAGAATGCTTGACATTAAACTTTTTTCTACTAAGGAGTTGCGGATGAAGCCCCCAACAGAAATTCCCAATTCCCTGTCTAAATGTAGTCAGTTCTTTGCAACTGATTTACTTACAGTAACTGCCATTTGGTGTCTGTAGTAATGAAGTGATTTGTAAACAGTGAACGTTTCATCGTGTTCTCTTTGGTGTTTGTTTCTATTGCGGGTCATGTTTGTAACTTCTGATAAAGTTGTATCTACACCAGCAACGTTATAATGCCCCTATAGCCCTAAACTGTCTATTATCATAAATAAAATGCTTCACTTTATGGTGAACTAAGCTAAAGATCCATGCTTCAATAAAAATAATGTCAACAAACAATTCTGATGCTAGGCTTTTCAAGCCATGCAGGCTTTACATGAAATCATAAACCAAATTCTTTTACTAAGTACCTAGATTCTAATGCAAACATTGATGATATTTTTTAATATTTAGTAGTACATCACACTTAACAGCACTTTGCAAATAACACAACCCAACAGATCTCCCAGTCCCACCTGTGGGCCTAACGTGGTTGTTGGAACAGATCCTGATGCAAGGAATGAAATGGGGCCACGGACCAATACAGACTCTCACTTGTCTTTATCTGCAAGCCCGACATGCAATATGCCAATCGGTGTTTCCACGCTCTGAGGACCACAGCGCAGCACATAAGGAACCTGGTTAAAACAAAGTTGCAAATTCTTTGAATCATAGAATGATTTAGGTTGGAAAAGACCCTTAAGATCATCGAGTCCAACTGCAAACCTAACACTGCCAAGTCCCACTAACCCTTGTCCCCAAGCACCACATCTACACGTCTTTAAATACCTCCAGGGACAGTGCCTCAACCACGTCCCAGGGCAGCCTGTTCCAATGCTTGACAACCTTTTCAGTGAAGAAATTTTTCCTAATATCCAATCTAAACCTCCCCTGGTGCAACTTGAGGCCGTTTCCTCTCATCCTATCACTTGTTACTTGGGAGAAGAGATCAACCCCCACCTTGCTACAGCCTGCTTTCAGGTAGTTGTAGAGAATGACAAGGTCTCCCCTCAGCCTCCTTTTCTCCAGGTTGAACAACCCCAGTTCCCTGAGCTGCTCCTTATCAGAGAGAAGTATCACATATACCTGCTATGCTCTTACAGCATGCGCATCTGCCCCTGGTACCAAACTGGTCTGAAGCAGAATGGTGATTGTTACACATCCATGCTCAGCCACCTAAAATGTGTTTAAGAGGTTTTTGATCAAAGGTACCTGAGAAGTGCAGGAAAAAAAGGAGGTCATTCAGTGACCAACTAGTCAAAACCTTGGCTTGGTCAAAATTATGCAACAGACTTTTGACAGACCTGGAAACTTACTGCAACAGCCCAGCTTCCTGCAGGGGAAACTCGCTGTATTGTTCTGGATAACAGTATGTGTGTTTTCAATTCTTGCAACAAGATAAAGGACCTATTCAGAGAAAGAGCAGGAAGAAAAAAATGAGGTTATTAAAGAATATAATAGCTTAACATTTGGGCAAGATATTTTAAAATATTGTAATTGAAGTTTTGCCCATTGAACAAACAGAAATGCAAGATATAAGCACTCCTATTTTTAAAGATAATTTTATTTGCCCTAATATTTCAATAGATGGGTGATATTTCAATCTAAAAGGTGTGTGCAGCTAGCGTGTTGCTAGGGAATTAATTTATTTTAAAGACTTTAGACACAATGAGGCACTTAATCTGACTTCTCTTTCCAGGTCAGAGACCAGCATAGTCAGAGAAGCTGCTTTTCACAATTGTATTTGCTTCCTTTGAATAATGTATGTAATTATGGCTACTGAGGAATCTCCTGAGGTATTTCACCAGAACTCACTACAAACCGTGCACAGGCTTTTCTCAAAAGTCATCCCTGCTGTCAGATTCCCAAGTGATGTTGTCATTTGCCCTTTCCAGATTACAGCAAGTTCTTCCTACATTTTTTCCATTCCTATAGCACACAAGGTAGCGTGCATATACTGCATGCTCAGTGTAGGTACTGTTTTATTTTTCCTCCCATATGACTGATAACTATGAGTCATCTGACATTAAATAGTTGTTAAAACAGTAAGGGTGACACAGCATATAATCAATGGCAATAAAACAGTGCCAGTGCTATAAAATGTACTGATAAGCTTATCTACTGATATAAAACTTTGGCAGGTATAACTATGAAAACTGATGCTTTTAGAATGCCTTCCTCATTTCTCCTATCAGCTCACTAACCCATGTTCCAGTAGAATAAGGAGAACACAAGAGAAATTAAATAAAAATACAGGAAGACAAAGCTCTGACCTGCTGGAGTTTCTGGAACAATCAAAACCTGAAGTTCTCATAATTTTGCCTGAATGTCATACTCTTAGGCTTGCTTCAGCCACAGGCGATAAGATGACCTTAAGTGAGAGGAAGTTAGAGTAGCACAAATATTTGGAAGGACTGAATTACGCTTTGCCTGAACTTGACAATTCAGAGAAATGGGTAGAAATGAAATTACACAGCAAATACTTTCAAGGACAAGACATTGTCCAAGCACATGCTACCAGCACACAACGTGGGCAAATACCTGGCTAAGCAGCAAACTATAGGAAGAGAATCAACAGTGTAAAGCAGTTTAAAAAAATGCCATTTTGCATTATATCAATAGAAGTGTTTATGGTAAAAGTAAGTATGGCTGTCAGTGCTGGTAAAGTAGACACCAGTTGTCAGCTGTTGAGCCCTTCACTTAAACACAGATGTAAACAAGTTGGAGAGATTGCGGACTACAGCAGCAAAAACAAGACCCTTGAAACCATGCGCTTCCAAGTAGAGAGAGTTGGTTTGTTTAGTCTAGAAAGGAAAACATTTGCAAAGAGATATGACAACAGCCATAAACATGGATCTGTGTTTTATTTACTTGCTAACCCTTCAGGGCAAATGTCACTGGGTGGAAATGCTGCCACAGCATCACCTCATCCACCATCCAGCAGTGGGGAAGGAGATCTGGGTATTATCCAAGCAGGAAGCCGGTATGCTGCTCTGTAAGCCCCGCTGCTGGATGCACAAAGGGCCATGCACAAGCAGCAAGGTACAGCAGACAAACCCTGCTCAGTTCAGCTCTGTAGCAAGGCTTAACTAAATGTGACTTAACCCTCAAGTAACAAGAAGAAGCTAGCTGTAGAGGGGAGCTACCTTAACGCTGAGCTGGTGAGGGAGCCTCAAAACCAAAGGAGATCACCAAAAGGGCTTGCCTACCTTAAGCATGGCCTTTAAGAGCTTTTCAAGGGCTGTTAGCAATCTGGAGCAGCTGAGACCACACGACCACTTGCAGCACATGTCCTGTGATAGAGCAGATGGAGTACCTACCACCCGCAGGTGGTGGATCTGCTCCTGGAAGAAATGACAGTGAGGTTTGAGGCTGCAGAAGTTCTACAGGTGACACATGGACGAATTGACTGGTGTTCTCCTGCACTACTGATGGTTTATGACTGTTGCTTTTTCTTCTCCGTGTCCTTCTTGGTTCAGCTGAAGGGACTGACCCAGCAGCAAGCCTGAGGACTTAGGCCTGTGCATGGGTAATTAGCACAGACCCTGATGGGGAGAGTTTGAGCCAGCACCCAACAAGGAGGGGCCCAGTAAAAATGGTATTCCAGGGATGGGGGAGTACTGTACTGGAGGATGCTGATAAATGCTGGGTTTATAGTTTGAATCTGTACTTCTTTTGAAAGAAAACAAGTTTGTTAAGCTTCTTCAGGGGAAAAAAAAATTAAAAAGAGGATGTGGTCGTGCTTTTGAGCTGTGCTGCTCAGGGTAGATCTGTGCAAGAGCTAGTGGCAAAGAAGCTATTTCAGAGGGCTGGGTTGCTTCCCTGATTGCCTCTGGGCCAAAGGCAGGACTCTGGGAGGTACTGGGCAGCCCCAAGTCTTGAGGCTGCTTCTGCATTAGGATGCTATTGCTGGTACCATGAGAGTGGGCTGGTAGCCCCATGTCCTTCTTTCCCTGACCACTGACTGTGTGACATGCCAGCCTTCTGCTGCTACCAGATCACTTCAGGTGTGCCTGAAACTGCACATGCCAAGCCAGAGTGCAAAGGGAGGGAGTAGGGCA